AACCCAAAATATCCCAACTGAGGCTGACTTATCTGACGAGGCGACAAGGAAGAGCGCGGTTAAAATCACGCACGTTGTCCATGCCTGTTGACTTTCGATTAGTCCCATTAATGGCAAGGAGTATCCAAGAAACAAAGTTGGTCAAAGGCCAATATTACGTCCTCACCACTTGGTGATTAATAGAGATCTTAAGGACCGGTGCAATTCTCTTAGAAGAATAATTGAATTTTAATGAATTCCCACAATGCTTAATGGTCATAGGTCCCGTGAAATGTGTTTTTCTAGGAGTTATTGGCAGCATTTGTGACGTAAGTAATTGCAGGCAGTACTAATACGTGCCTATTTTCGGACCGAGATGAGTTGTAACTGGTAATTTCATTGAAGCTAAAACTTTAGCGTCATTTCTCTGAGAAAAATTATATGCAGTGCGGGTGACACCCAAATGCACATAGGAATGCTTCCGAACAGGTGGATTCCATAATTATTCGAATTGATTTTAAAAAAGAAATGAAAAAGAATTGAAAAAAGCTAAGATAAAAATCAAGAGATTTACAACAAATTGTCCGTATTAAGCAAAGTAATGCTGTCAATCCCGATGTCGCTTATGTCCAGGACGGTCCTCATATCGGGAATGGTGACTGCGAGATCTAGGTAATGATTTGCTCTCTGAAGCATCTGATTCACAATTAACAGATGAGTGGGAAGAGGGTGAGCGAGAGCTATATTGATGTATGTATTTAGAATATTTTGTTTTAAGAGTACGTGTGTCTGCGTTGTATGCTGCTGGTGGAGTTCTCTCATGTCTATGAGTCATCTAAAAATAAGATATAAGATCATAATTTAATCGAACTGGCAAATAATGGACCTAGAGTTTAATATAAATTGAGGCAATATTAATTTAGGCATTTATTTTTATCGAGGCAACAATTGTGGGGTGAATTTACCTTAGTGAACCTGCTAGATTTTGATCCTGATCGATGTCCATTTTCCTGTTTAAAAGATCTATGCTTTTTCTTTTTTTGGACAGGACAATCCTTTAGGTCAACTAGATTAGAATTGCTACTGCTTTCATCGTGATTGAGCTCAAACAAAAAAGGGTCTGTTGATTCGTGGCGGACCGCAGCCCTATTTAACCCGGCTACAACAGCCTGAGCCACAGCGATAGACACAGAGTCAGGCCGTGCCGATAATGGCAAAGATAAGGAATGGAGAGAATCCAATCCCAGAGGTATTGCTGGATTCGGTGAAGCTGGATCGGAATTAGAATTGAATCTACAATCAGAGTTCTTTCCCGTCTGAGGCCTGTCGGAAGTTGAGACTGTGCTAAGGAAACAAGCTTCCTCAGCGATCGTAGAGGGAGGCGAGGAGCCTGCGAATTGTTCTTGTTTAAGTCGAGCAACAAGTAGGGCAGCCCGACGCCTGCGATCTGCCATAAGTTGTTCGTTGTTAGCAAGGTTGAGATCTGTAGAGGGTGGCGAATCTGAGGTTGAAAATGTAAATTATAAATGATGATTTTTGGCTAGCACAACTTTTAGAACAGTTCTAAATAATCTTTTCTTATAAATCAGTAAAAAAACAATAGAAAATGTAAGTTTTCTGGAATATTTTCGTTAGTTCATTCTCATATTGCACAGTTTAAAATGAATTTTAGGGTCTATGCAAAAATTTCTTAACCAACAACTAGGTAGCTTCGCATATAATGTATCAGCGTTCTTTTGTGTCGTGGAAAATGAATAAATTGCATTATTCGACCTTAGACATTGTAATGTGTAAACAAAATTATGATCTTTAGGTAGAATGTAAAAAATCTACCTTTAATTTGGTAGCTTTTGCTTGCATTGAGGAATTTTATTGTCATCTATGGAGAAGAATCTAAGCATTATTAAGCCTGGACTCATTAGAGCATATCGGAACGAAGGAAGGACTTGCAGATATTGCGGTGGAGAATGTACGGAAACTTTGTACAAAGTTAAAGAAAAAATATATTCATAAAAACCAACTCGCGAAATGTCTTAGTGTTTGGCAAAGGTTTTTCTATTTTTAAAGCATAACCAACTCAGAATTAAGAAGTGCAATGACGACGTATAGGGTTGTTATAACCCCGAAATTCTGGAGCAAACATAATAATAAATAAAAAGAAATTCATTTTAAAAATTTAAAAGAATATAAAAGCTTGAAAATATTAGGAAATAAACTTGATCAATTAAAAATACATAGCCAATAGTATCAGCGATTTGTAACTATAAATAAGGTCAAGCTCAAAGTAGGAAAAGTTTATGAATGCTCTTTACATCAAATAGTCAGAGGTAATAAGAATCACTACCAGGTAGGAAAGAGCTGTTAAAATG